AAGAATTACATTTTTAGCTTGTCAACAAGTACTGTGGATTATATAACATTATGAAGAATCATCTTGTCATTTGGAGATTAAATGTTGTGTGAAGTATGTTCTGATGATGCAAATTCAGTGGGGGGAAATAGAAGCCATGCCATGTCACTAGTAGTCACCTACCTAAAAATTTCAGATGTCACATATCAATGTTTTGAAAAAAGTCTTTATCAGATTTGATCCCTTTGCTCAAAAGTTTGAAGCATTTTAATGACAAGCCAGGTTTTCTGGCCCATTGAGGAATACACAGCAGGAGAAATTGTGACCATTATCCTAAGCAAGCAAGATCTTAATCCTCTGTGGCACATTCCCTCCTAGGTTAATAACTGTTCCACATATTAGAGACATATTTGAAAACCGTCATAGTTATGGAATAAAATAAATACATTACTATAAGCACGGGATATATGAAGGAAGTCCAATAGGAATCTAAATCTGAAAAAAACACACCAGGCAATTTTGAAATTTAAAACAATCTTTGAAGCACTGGATGTGAGAAAATCAATTTAGTCATAGTGAGTGTAAATGTTTGATAAATATGATAATTAGTCTTTAAGAAATAAAACCAAGAAAAGAGAAAAAGAATTCTGAAAGTCATCCTCTATTGGAAAATAAAGAGAAGGGATTTTTATAATTAACATGATAACCTTATTGATAACAATCAACATTCAAGTAGTTTGACCATAACTGTTTGATAAAGAAGTTCTTATAAAGTCAAATATGGATAAATAAGTTATATTAACTATTTAATAGAAAACATTCATGGAAGATTTGAATTGATTGAAATTAGCCAATAGGATACACAAGATTCAGCTTATGTTGTATTCATTTGTGGTATCTCTGTCTTTCTGAAGTTGCTAATCATACATCTGCGAACAAACCTGATTAGTGAGGTGGCGTGGTACCTATTTAAATCACCACAGTGTCTCTGACTCAGGATAAATAATAGCTTTGAGCAACAATAAAATGTGACTAATTGCTTTGTTCATTTGAGCACTGTAAGCAAGGGACAGAATCACTCATGGAAAATCGTGATTGGTGGAATGAATAAGTGGTAATTGCTTCACATTAAATAAACAAAAGACACCATCATATATTAATGCATTCACAGTTTATTACAGTTTAGAAAAATATTCTAATCAACACTGACAACAATTGAATAGATTCGTTGTACCCAAAGGTGCTGTTTATTAATTTATCTTAACAAAGAATGATGTGTCGAGGTAAATTAGCTTTTTCGTATTTGCCAGTTTTTGTGCTCAAACCTGAACAGGGCGCTTATTCACTTGCGCGTTGCTAAAAGTAAAATGATTTTGGATCAACATGTTATTTGGGTTTTAAGAAAAAACATTCTTGTTTTTAAATGATTTTAAAAAATAGTAAAGGGTGCTATTTGAGCTTAGTCCAACTGTCAGAAATATATCATGAATTTTCTACTTATTTTTGTCTTATATGTAAACGAGGTAATAACTGTCCCACTTAGCTTTTATGTTGTTATTTAAAATGTGATAGAATTAGGGAATCTCTTAAAATTTATAAAAAATCACTGTAATGATTGTGATGCAGGTAGTTTAGTTTAAAATGAAGTCTTTTTGAAGTATAAACAAAAGGAAGTTTTATTTGTGTCCACTCCGTTATACACACTGCATATAAATAGGACGCGGCCAAACACCCTGATGTGCCCCAAGCATATGTTCCTTTCCTTGTATTTGTCCTTTACACATGCTACTCAGAATAATCTTATGCATTTTTAATGTAACCAACATTTATATATTCAATTCATTATTATTCATTATTTATTCATAACATTGTTTACTTAATATGAGATCTAGCTTCTTAGGATTTTAAGTTCATAACACAATATCATTAACTGAAGGCACAGTGTTGTGTAGAAAGTCTCTAGAATTTGTGTCCCTGCAACTTTATAGCCATTGAACAGCAACTCTCCATCCCCCTCTTCCCAGCCCCTGGCGTCCACCATTCTATTGTCTGGGTCAATGACTGGCAGTTTAGCTGTCCTTCACTGACTGGCTGATTTCACTTCTCATACTTTCCTCCGGGTTCATCGATGTTTTCACCTAGGACAGAATTTCCTCCCTTCTTAAGGCTGAGTAATATTTCATTGTTTGCTGATACCATATTTTCTTCATCCATTAAAGGACTTGTAGATTGTTTGGACTATTTTGTGAATACACTGCAGTGAATATGGAATTGAGGATATCTTTTAAATTTTTTCACAATTTTTCAATTTTTACTGGAAGCATTTCAGCAAATTTCATAATCAACTTTTATGCCTTGTGTGATGGAATGTTCATTTTGATTTGACTAACAAATTCTCTTTTTGCGGGCTGATGAGCCAGAGGAGATAAATATAATCAGAAGGACACTCTAGTGCCAGAGGTAGCGTGTGAGCTATTTTTAAAGCAGATCTGTATCATTTTCTTATCCTTGGATCCATCTAAACCAGTGGCTGGCAAACTGCGGCTCGCGAGCCACATGCGGTTCTTTGGCCCCTTGAGTGTGGCACTTCCTAAGCCTTAGGAGTACCCTAATTAAGTTAATAACATGTACCTACCTATATAGTTTAAGTTTAAAAATTTTGGCTCTCAAAAGAAATTTCAATCGCTGTACTGTTGATATTTGACTCTGTTGACTAATGAGTTTGCCGACCACTGATCTAAACCATATAAAGTTATGTTACCTGAAGACTTCATAGGATGCATAACTCACTCCTCAGTTGATAAGATACAAAGACTATATATTTCCTTAGTCTGTTACCCTAGCATTTATTTTTTTAATATTTGTTTTTGAAAGTAGTACATAGGTCCTCCTTCCCCCCCCCCATTAACCTCTTCCAGCCTGATCCTGTCCCTCAACTCCCCCCCCAGGCTCTCTGTGTTCATGGGTTATGCATATATGCATACAAGTTCATTGGTTGATCTCTTCCCACACCCTCCCCTGCCTTCCCTCTGAGGTTCAACAGTCTGTTTATGCTTCTATGTTTCTGGGCCTATTTTTTTTATTACCCCAGCATTTAGAGCAGGGCCATGGAGTACACCAAATCAGATACCCCAAAAAGTGCAAAATAAAACAAAGCTAAAGATCTCAGAAATGTTGAATCCAACATTAATGGTGAAATCCAAAAAGTAGGAACAGTGAAGAATTCAAACATTTTGTAGTAGTGCCCCCTTACCCATGGCTTCCCTTTCCGCGGGGATTCAGTTACCTGAGGACAACTGAGGCTCAGAAATATAAAAGGGAAAACTCCAGGAATAAACAGGTCACAAGTTTTAAATCGTACGTCGTTCTAAGCAGCATGGTGAAATCGCACATCATCCAGCCCCGACCTGCAGGGCTGTGAATCCTGTTGTCCAGCAGATCCAGGCTGTAGACACTACCTGTCTGGTAGTCATTTACCTGTCAAGGTCATGTGATTGCCGTGCCATCACAGCACTTGTGTTAAAGTGACCCTTATTTTACTGAACAATGGCCCCAAAGTCTTTCCCATAGTTTGTATTACAGTATCCTATATAATAAAAAGCTAATATGCTGATTAGACTGAATAGCAGAACAACTGTCCAGACGACCTTCTGGAGGAAGCCAGGGCTGAGAGGATCAGCCAAGGCATCCAGGGCTGCGAGGGCCAAGCCCCTTGCACGAATTTCATGCATCGGGCCTCTAGTATTGTTATAATTGTTCTATTTTATTACTGGTGATTATTGTTAGTCCCTTACTGTGCCTAATTTATAAAGCAGGCTTTGTGTCAGATATGTATAGAAAACGACACAGTAAGTATAGGGTTTAGTAATATTATCTATGGTTTTAGGCATCCACTGGGGGTCTTGGAACATATGCCCCGGAGGTAAGGCGGGGCTGCTGTGTGTGATTAGCAGCAAGTGGAATCACTCATAGCCTAAATCATAGGATTTAGGACACCAGGTAAGGGTTTCAGATGGCAGAGGGTGGGGGGACTTCTCAGTTCGTCAGGTGACACTAATAGCAGTTCTGTGAGGTCGTTATTAGTGTCACCCTTCCTTACTTTACAAGTGAAGGTAAAGAAGCATAAAATGTTCACACAGTATGTCACACTAATAGGCGGTGAGTATGAAACAGGCCGTTACGGTTTAGAGCTTGCTCTTAATCACCACGTTGCTTTCTTCGCCGCCTAAAAACAAATGCTTCCCTCAGCTACTACAGTGCTTTGCAAGGATGCCGGCACATGAGTCACTAACGGATTTCTCAGGGCTTTTAGTGCAGTAGACGGGTGAGGTCCTACAAGGAGATATGGATGCCGAATGGGTGATTTGCAGGTTAAGAACCCACACTAACATCTCCATCTCCCCATATCTGTACCTGGAGAGTATGTCTCCCCTGGTGGTTCTAGTCAGTCACCAGAATAAGCCATCAGTTGGTTGCTTGGTTGATTTCTGGGACTGAATCTCAATAGTGGCCAATGATGAACACATTTACTATACACCCTTTCTATAATGAGAGGCTTGACATTTACTTCAGCTGAAAATGACTTATTGATTTTAGTGGACACGATGGGATCCTGTGAAGGGCAAATGACCAGAGCAAAGGGGGTGCTGTCAACAGGACCAAGGGTTTAGCAGAGTATATCACCTGTAGGCTCTCAGTATCAGCTGAGATCACACGGTAGTCAATCTGCTAATATTCCACTTCGTAATCATTTAAAACACAAAATGCACTAGGCTTCGGAAATGTAGGCTTGGTTCAAATAATAGAATCATGACTGTTGAAGTAATTCCTGAGTACTTTAGTTCACAGAAAGACCTAGAATCACAGGTCTCAGGATCTTCTTTCTGGCCTTCTGCAAAGAGAAAGGAGTAACTCTACAATCAGAAAAAGAAACACTTAATTCTTTTGAGTATTTGTCAACAGTGGATCTAAATGTGCGTTAATCTGGAGACTAAAACCTGCTCTTCTTTCCTTAATTACAGGGAAGGCCAAAGCACCAAGGAGCAGATGAATGGAACTCACCTCATGGTAGGACTGCTTTGACTCTAAAATAATCCATTCTTCCTTCGCAGCTCCCTAGATTCATAGTTGATAAGTACATATGCTCTACAATTGTGAAAATTCCCAGGTTGTCATTTGACCAAAGAAGTAAGGTCTATTATGAGAAAGTCCAAATGAAAACTCCTACAGCTTTTCCTCCTCCCTCTCTCCCTCCCTCCCTTCCTCCCTTCTTTCCTTCCTTCCTTCATTTTTTCTTCCTTCGTTATTTTCTTTCTTTGTATTGTTGACAGTATTACAAATGTTCCCCATTGTTCCCCTGTTTGTGTGCCTCCGCCCAGCTCCTACACCCCACCCCTGGCCTTCATGCACAATTTTATCTGTATCTGTGGGTTATGCATATATGTTCTATGGCTACTCTCTTCACCTTCTTTGGTCCAGCCCTCCCAAATCCCTCCCCTCTGACATCTGTCAGTGTGTCCCAGGCACTCATGCCTCTGGTTGTATTCTGTTCTTCAGTTTATTTTGTTCATTTGGTTCCACATATTAGTGGGATCATATGGTATTTGTCTTTCTCTGACTGGCTTATTTCGCATAAAATAATAATCTCCAGGTCCATCCTTGCTGTCAAAAAAAGGTAAGAGTTCTTTCTTTTTTATTGCCACATTGTATTTTATTGTGTAAATTTACCACAGCTTTTTTACCCAATCATCTAATGATAGGTACTTTGGCTGTTTCCAGATCTTAGCTATTATAAATAATGTTGCTATGAACATAGGGGTGCATAGATTCTTTCTTAATAGTGTTTTGAATATCTTTGGATATATTCCCAGAAGTGGATTCACTGGGTAAAAGGCAGTTCCAGTTTTAATTTTTTGAGGAAACACCTTACTGTTTTCCAAAGTGGCTGCACCAGTTTGCATTCCCACCAACAGTGAACTAGGGTTCCCTTTTCTCCATATCCTCGACTGCACTTGTTGTTTATGGATTTATTGCAGGTAGCCATTCTGGCAGGTGTGAGGTGATACCTCATTGTAGTTTTAATTTGCATCTATCTGATGATTAGTGACATTAAACATTTTTTCATATATCTGTTGGCCATCTGTATCTCATCTTTGGAGAAGTGTCTATTCGGGTCCTTTGCCCATTTTTTAAATTGGATTGTTTGACTTCCTGGTGTTGAATTGTGTAAGTTCTTTACAGTGGGGCCTTGACTTACAAGTGTCCCGACTAACGAGTTTTTTGAGATACGAGCTGTCTCTCGGCCGATTTTTTTATTTGAGTTGCAAGCTAAAATTCGGGTTATGAGCCAGCTTCAGATACCCCACTGCTAGTTGGCTCAGCGAACGCCACAGTGAACGCCACAACATCAGCCCAGCATCACGTGTCTCACGCGTTCACTTTAAGATTTGATATACGAGTAATTTGAGTTACGAGCTCCGTCACAGAACGAATTAAACTCGTAAGTCAAGGCCCCACTGTATATATTTTGCAAATTAACCCTTTATGAGGTGTATCATTGGTGAATATGTTCTCCCATACAGTGGGTTCCCTTTTCATTTTGATGTTTGTTTGTTTGTTTCTATGCAGAAGCTTTTTAGTTTGACCTACTTCCATTTGTTTATTTTTTCCTTTATTTCCCTTGACCTAGGAGATGTATTGATGAAAATTCTGTTACGTGAAATGTCTCATATTTTGCTGCCTATGTTTTCTTCTAGGATTTTTATAGTTTCATGACTTACATTTAAGTATTTTATCCATTTAAGTTTTTTCTTGTGTATGGGGTAAATTGGTGGTCTAGTTTCATTTTTTTTTTGCATGTACCTTCCCAATTTTCCCAACACTTCTTATTGAATAGACTATCTTGACTCCATTGTAGCTCTTGCCTCCTTGTCAAATATTAATGGTCTGTCAATGTGTTGGTTGATTTCTGGGCTCTCTAGTCTGTTCCTGGAAGCATCCCTATTTCCAAACTTGGTGGTGTTAAAAGAGCACACACTCTGGAATCCAGCTACTCAGGTGAAAATCACATTTCTACCACCGAAATGCTTTGTGACCTTGCACACATCTCTGAATCATTTTGGAGTTTAATTTTTATATAAGCACTTAATGTTATAATATGTATTTCATAGAATTGCTATCTATTTTGTAGAACTCATAATAATGTCTGGCACATCATAATTATAAGTGTTTGATCACTCAATCAAAAATAATAGCACAACTTTGGGAAATTCAAGAACATTTATTTAACTATGTAAAAATTTTAACAGAAGAAATAAATACTCCTTCCACATTCCCTTTTAGTTATCAGTTACTTCTGAAGGATGCAGTTGATGGGCCTTTGAAAATAAGAGTGAATTATCAGGTTACCAAAAGATAACTGGTTTCTGCCATATTAATAGAGTAACTGGTTATCAAGCTGGCTTTGAAATTTTGAGGTAGTCACTCCACAATACTAGGTGCATCTCTGCATATAATTTTTTGTACAAATAAAACAAGAAGTCAAATGCTTGGTAGACTTTTCGGAAACATAAAGGCAAAAGGTATCATATGTAACACTTCTCTGACTACATATGCTCTGTGGATGATAATGAGATACAGTGTGTACAGCCCTACTGTCTATCCATTGAAACCCCATTGGCCTAGTGTTGCATAAGTACCTTCTGTGGAGACAGGTTTGGCGTCACTCCATGACAAAGCCCATTACAAGAGTCACAGTGATGCCCCCCATGGATTGGGGGTCAGGGAGAGTTGCTGTGCTATCTTAGCAATTAAGTATTTTCCCTTTAAGAAATTGTTCTTCCCTTGATCCTGGACAATGGCATAAACTAAAATGTATAACCATGGAAGGTGAGATAATCATCCAACCTGAATTACACATGGTGATTAGAATCATTACATTCTATTAGCAAGGAGCTTCGCCAGCCAGCAGCACTTTATCGTGAAGTCAGGCTGTGCATATGAGATGATTTCAAGCACGTCCAGACAGGTATAAGCAATTTATGTTAGTCGATGATTCACACTCACAGCTTGACTGTGATGTCCTCCTTGTCTCCACTCAAAGTACATACATGACCTCATGAGTAATCTCTGTGACCACTGGTCCGATGAGAAACGGATAAGACTACACCAGCAAAAAATGCACAAGGACAGCATTGCCATCCCACTGTCGCCCAATTCTAAATTACGGTGACAAAATAAAACCTCTCAGTAGTCAGAACCTCAATTGGCACAATCACAGTTTCCATTTTACCTCAGCAGAGAGAAGACCTCAGGTGAGGTGTCCATGAATAATGCTTTGATGGATAATCCGGCATTTAGAAAAAATAAAAATGTGTGGATTAAAAAGAAGTTTGGGAAGACATATATTAATGAACCTCCTAATTTGGGACAGGATATTAGAATATTTGTGTTTCATGTGGATGCGCAGCAAAAGTCAAAGCAGAGAGGGCTTGTAATAAGGCAAGATGGGCAAGATTATTCATTCTGGGGTGTAGGTCAGCCTTCTTCCGCAGGGAACATAGAAATGGGATCCTGGCTACAGGGCTGGAACCAGTGCCAAGTCTCAAAAATATGGCCCCTTCCTTGCTAAGCTGATCTGGTTATGCCGCTGCTCGTTCTCTGTACCATGAGCCTGAGAACCAGTCATGGAGCTGGTGGATGATGGTCATATAGGAATCTTTCCATCATGAAGAGGACAGAGGTTTATTTGCACCAATGTAGACAGCTGTTAGGGATTTTACTGCCTTCCATGGCCCTACGGTTTTCCACCTTACTTTTGTGAATGCCATACTTAGCTTCGGCAGTCCACCAATACTGCTCTGGGTAGGAACTTAACTTACTACAAGGAAAGAGAAAAAGGCAATTCCTTGATCTCAGACAGCAGTAGTTTCACCCACAAAGAGTACCCTAAGCATTTTAGAAATATTGCATATTTAGTATTGAATCCACATCATCAAATTATGTGGGAATTTACTTGTCTTTATCAGAGCATTTTTCATTATGGGCACAGAGGACAATTGTAATAAGCAAATTATCTGCAAAAGGGACAAACATGTTCCTGGCTATCAAAAAAGCAGTCGCACATCCAAATCTGATGCTCAGATTACGGTGATACACTTGTCAAAGCACTATTCAATTATGTCATGACGGGGAGGTGGGTTTCATATTTTAATTTTAATGGAGATTGGATATTTGAATCCTGTAGACATGCGTCTGAGTTTAATAACCATCAAATGCATGTTCAGAATGAAGGGCCGAGTCAATTATTTTTCCAAAAGTAATAATTAAGTGAGTTTTAAATACAGAAGAAGAAGAATGGAACAACTCATGAATATTCTATGTTTCCAAAATTAATCACAAGTCAACTTCCTGGTTTATATTTGTGAAATCATTATTATGTGATTTGTAGATGCTGAAGAGTTACAAATTAGTGAGTGATAATAACTTTTGGAAAGCCAGAACAACTAAGGGACCTTAATAAGCTGTGTCATACCTCTCTGAGTGACCTCACCTGTTACACCTGAACTTGCACTTTTCTGAAAGAGATCCTTTTCCATAGATGACATTATATGTGGAACAAATCATAAAACACTAAAATGATATAAGCAAAATTTGCTATTTTGTACTTTTAGAGTAGTAAAGTAGTACTTAAATGTTGCTTATTGTTTTCTGCAATATAAAATTCTTTATTCTTTGATATTAGTGTAGTTCCAAATGATTTGGTATGTTTCAAACACCTGAAAAAGAATATAAATAGGTTAAACGGAAACAAGTTTTCCTGCCCAGCCTCCCCACGAGCACCAAGTCCCCTCAGTACTCAGGTACCACTGCATGTTGATGTCACCCACTGGTTATGTGCAAGGAAGAGGTGGGGTGATGGAAAGGAGCCGGGGGAGAGAATAATTACAATCCAGCACAGTCCACAGTCAAAGAAACAGGGAGTGGATGTTTGGGATCTGAGAGCAGATTGCGCTTCAGGAGACACAGCAACTAGAATGTGCTATATTCTTGCCAAGGTCTGTAGGAAT